AGTACTTTATGAGCACCAGGGACACTGTGTTCGAAACCCAATTGATTTATGCTGTCGATCGAGATATGTAAGTCTTATTGAAATACATTATACATGTATTTTAAGCTGTACTTCATGTAAATAAAATGTTTTTGTATATTTAGTCCCCACCAATTTTTTTTTGTTGTTCGTCGGACTAAGAGAAGCCTGCAAGTGATAAAAAATATTACTTTATATAAAGCCATTATTTTACAGAACATGAAAAAAAAAATGAACATACAATAACATTGTTTCTGGATTTTAAATTCAACAGACGTAAAATACTAGTATGAAAATTATAAACGGAAATAAAACAGGAAGGATCACAGCATTCTCTTGGTGCCGGGAATTTAAATTTCTTTAGTTTTTTAATGAGAGCGCGCGAGATCCACCGAGCAAAAAATTGAATTATTGTGGCCTTATTAAATGTTTGTAGAATTTTCGTAAAGTAGTGTATTAATTTTTTTTAAAATGTACTATTTCATTTCGTCATATTTTATAAAAAATGAATTAATCTTATTACAGGTATAGAAATGGATCAGCATTTGAAGGAATTTCAAATGCATACAATGATGTAAATTTTGGGGAAGACTGGTCAGTATATAGCAAGGTTAGAGTAATGGACAGAAGGCGATTGTCTGAGGCGTGGTTTAAATGGCATTTGATAGAAATGAAAATCGGTTTGGGGGAGAGAAACATCGATACCTTGGTGTGTTCTGAAGTCGATGCTGAAATACAAAGGCTTCTCCCAAGGATACATGAACACTTTACAAAGAAATGGTCTGGTAGTCATCATTGTGACAACTGCAAGTCAAAAGGTGTGTAAATTTAGTTAATATTTAAGCTCGGTATATATTACGTAATTTTTTTGAAGATGGTTTTTGTGGAACAACTTCATCGGTCCCCAAGAAAACTCGCTAAAATTTATTGTCGCCGAGGGCGAATTGAGTATGTTTATGAAATAAGAAATATTTAAAGGATAATGATCTTTCGAAAACTGTAGAAGAAATTTTTTTTTCCTAAAATAAGAGGTCATGAACCCTAATCATTCATATAGATTGCAGGACTATGACGTGTATCTGTAGTCCCCGCGCATATAATTTTCTAATCCTAAACAGTCGAATAATGTAAGAGGACTAACCCTTATCTCATAAGTGGGTGCAAGACTAACCCTAATCAGTCAAATAACTGTGCGAGGACTAACCCTAATCTCACAGGTGGGTGCAAGGCTAACCCTAATCAGTCGAATAACTGTATAAGGACTAACCCTAATTTATTAATGTGTGCACGACTAACCTTAATCAGTAGAATACTTGTGCAAGGACTAGCCCTCATCAGTTCAATGACCTAAATGCTGTTTTGTAGTCCGATGAGCGCGAGTATCTTGTTGATTTGGGGGCTGTTAAAGTCTACCTCCGTTGACCGATACAATTTAGGTTAATTCTTATCACCTTAAATATATTTGAATATCTTTAATTATTGAATAAATGTACTCATTTCATTGAAACAACAAGCAATATATACCCTAAATGTGCTCATCTATCACGGAGTTAGTACCTAAAAATTTTATATTCTATTATTTAAATGAGTGTTAATTAATTGAAATGTGAGAAACATTTTTAAATATACCCTATTATATCCAAAATATTGTATTTTTATTTTAATTAACATTGTGTAAGGTGAGGTTTCGAATACAAATGGTTTGCGTTTAGACGTTTCGTGAGCAAAAACATTGTATAAATTTTAAATAGATTTAAGATACATGATTTTTTTTCAGATTGTAGTCAAGCACTTATCATAGATGGTCATATGAAAGGCACCAGACTAGTTTGCGACTTTATGGAAGGCGACATTTGTTGTGAGGAAATTGGAAGCATTACGGTTGGTTGTAATCAGACGCCTGTCAAAGGTTCCTACTTCTGTGTAAATCATCAGCATTCTCTTATGAAGGTTAATAAGGTAACGTTTAAATATCACTGATTTTTATCATTGTGAAATAATACTGTATTTTAAGAATATTAATCAGGAAATAGATGAACTATTCCATTTTCTTTCTCCTTTAATCTCTCTGTTTTCTCTTGTCAATCCATTTTTACCCATCCCACCATAAATCTTTCTCTCAAAATAAATGTTTTCAAACTACGATACGATTGAACTTTAAAAGAAATATATATGTCAATATCGGTAAACAAGAATACGAAAGAATCTAGTTGGGAAATAATTTTTTTTTCTTGACATTTAGATTGAAACGCAACCTGATACAGATGAGAATCAACATTCACTGCAGTGTAAAACAGAGAAAAGGAAACAGGCAGCTAACAAACACCGGTCCGCCGGAATATGCTGTGCGGTATACAACTGTGGGGTAGTTGTGGGTATAACCGAGCTATTTGGTTGCGAATCACTTTCGCAAGTATATGTATTCCTCACTTGGCTTTGGCATGCTGTGCAGCATTTTCCACGATTATTTGCTTATGATGACGCCTGCCATTTAAAGCGCTATGTCAACAGTCGATAAAAAACAGCGGCAGGAAAGTTCATTGCAAATCTTACAATGGTGGTGGATAAAATGCACTTTAAAAACCACGTTGACAAATGGTGCAAACAAAATGTAAATCCACACAAAGTTAAAGAATTTTGTGACTTAAACACAGAAGCATGTGAACAGACATTTAAGTCTCTCCCACCTCCAACTGGCCGTTCGTTGTTTACACCGCCAAAACCCGTGTCTGCTAGCTCTTTCATGTGTTGTTTAATGTTGTTTAATGGTATCGGCGCTAGACCTAGAGCATCGTGCAACGTCTTGGCATCTGACAGCTTTACCGGGCCAGAGAAGGATTTTCTTCACCAGGGCTGCGTTCAGCAAGTCAGGTTTGCTGTCGTTTTCTTTACTATATCCAGCAAGAATTTTCTTCTGGTGCAGGAAATAGTCATTTAATGCAATGCTCTGTTTGGTGGCGGACTCAGAGATAATCTTGTCCAGGGTCTTCTGTCGCAGATACTCATCCAGTTTTCTTATGAAGTCCTCGTTGATCCTGTCCGAGTTTGCCTCATCAATTTCATGAAGTGCGTCTTGCGCTTTGCATATAGCCTCAATGATCATGGCCAATCTGTGGACTTGGCCTTTGGCTTTGCCAATCAGTCCTGTAAATTTTATACAGTGTTTTATAATTCCCGATCCCAATTTTCTTTTCTGTATAATTATGTATTGTACGTACTGTATTTATATAATTATCATGTTTAATTACGACTTTACACCCATTCTCAATATAAGGGCACAAATGCCTCTCTGATTTTTTTAAAAAAATAAAGTTCAAGAAAACAATTTTTCTATCAATTATCTTTGAAAGAAAGTATCTGAAGATTTTGTTTCCAGATTTTTTTTCATCAAATTATAATACATGGAAAAATGACAAGACGATAAAGCAGAGGGTGATTTTATTCAGAAATGTAGCTTGAAATGTACGTTACTCTTTCTTCAATGTCCAAAAAGATAGGTGAAAAAAAATGTAGTCATTAAAATCACAATTGGAATAGCTCATCTTAACACCAGCACATCCTACCAACTCTGTCAGCAAAATATTTTCTCGGCATACGAACGTGCGTTTGATTTTTCCTTTCAAAAAACAATGGTTACTTTTTGATCCAGATGTATAAAAACATTTTTAAAATATATGCTTTAAATTCTTCTCTCTGTTTTGTTTAGAGCGATCAGTTTGGAATCTTGTCATTTTCTATAGATATTGGAACCTAACATGTACATGTAGTAAAATTCTATTTTGTACGTACTGTCTTTTTTAACATATATCCATGCCGATTTAGAAAACTTACGTAAATGTAACGTACATTTCAAGATATATTTCTGTTTAATAGAAAGATTCAAATTCATCTAAAAATTCATCGTTTTGTTTCAGTTTATTAAAAAAAAGATTCTCTATGTAATCACATTGTGTTACATGTCGCAATCACCACTATAAAGACACGATTGCCTCAAAATATGAGTAGGTAACGTACATTTCAAGCGTGTAATAATATGTAAATTAGTAATAAGAAAATTTTGAAAAAAAAAGCAATTATTGACATAAAAATCATTTCAATGAAGCGTTTTAAGACAGTAATATAAGAAATCATAATGTAACAAACGAGGTTATTTGTCACCAACTACATGAATGTCACGTCACTTCGGTAACGTTCATTTCACATATTATTGGAGAGTCCCCTCCACCTCAGTTCATTACCATTCTTTTGTGCTGTTTCGCTGAAATTGACACCGGTCGTAGCCTAGTTACTTCTACCTGTGTGCAAGGGTACAGACAAAAAAATATAAGAGTCAGACGTACTTTGCTATGATCTGACAAATGCTCGTGTTTGGCCATTGCAACTTAACATAAATCTATTCCGAATATATCCATCGACAGTTTGTTAACAATTTCATTTAGTATGTTGCAACATCGTTTTTCAAAACACAAACATACGTGCTTTTCAGCAGATCTGGAAAAATATAACCCAAAATGCAATGATTCAAACAAAACTGAGTATTGTGTGCCTTTCAGTATTTGAAATGTACGTGACCGTCTTGTGTTCTGGGTTTAGGCCTATTTGTTTCTTTTTTTTTCTATTTTTTGTTTCTTTTTTTGTTTTTTTTTACCAATTATAAGCCTATGCATACATTGTTTTATATTATCAACAACAATTAGATAAATATTGACGAAAAGTCGCATATCAAAAGTAAACAAACTGCAAAAAGGTTGCCAAAGATGACTTTAAGACACTTCGAAATAAATTTTCTAACATGTGGTAACAGTCTAAAACATTTACGAGGATTAGGGTGCATTTAGATGGATTTATGTGGCCAGTTGTCAAATGGATTTTAACGATAATTTTGTTTCGCAATTCATTGACTAAATTAAAAAAAATGTCAGTTAGAAATACGTTAAATGTACGTTACCGTACGTAACGTACATTTCAAATATAAAAATCAATTCTCTTCCACAAGCGTACGTTAGACACGCAATATATTGATACTATTTGAACTTGCATATCATAAGAAATGCATCATACAGGTTTCGTATTCAGAAATATATACCAGGTATCAAAATTGTATTACATATAATTGACCTTAATATATTTTTTTTCCTCAGCAGAAACGTTTCTTTTCATTAATTTTGGGATTTAGCCGACCTCCAACCTTTGAAACTTTCCTTTGTGTACACATTTCAGTGTGTGAAAGTATGAGAATACATGAAAATTCGTGCGAGATTCACTTAATTCGAATTTCATGGTAACGTACATTTCAGTCACGTCCATTTCAAATGATCACTTTTCATGTAAAAAATAATTTTTAATTGTGTTTAGCAAAACGTCTTTGCCAGTTTACAGGATACAAGGGGTTGCTTATTCAGAGCCGTCTCATATTTTCTACTTAATATATATTCTTCATGGAAGAATATAGGTAACGTACATTTCTTTCTTATCTCTACGATTGAAAATGTCTTTCATTCCGTAAACATATTTATTGAAGTTGCTCAAATTGTTCAATTTTTTGTTACATTATCTAAATAGGAGTAATTAATCTATTGAAATTTCAAATTTAGCCCATCATTAAATAAAGGAGAACAAAATTATCAGGTGTATAATCTTTGTGTTTGTTTGTAATGTGGTTGAAATAGAATTCAGCGACAGGGACATTGCACAGTACAAATTATTTATTATCACAAAGAAAATGTATTTATTGTTATGAAAAGAAATATATATGATACAAGGTTTAACTTATCAGAAAATTTTTACTTAAGAATCAAAACTATATATTACACAGAGGGGATTCAGAATAATATTTGCCTCCGCGACAGTAACGTACATTTCAAATAGGCTACTATATTTGAATTTGGAACTCCTTAAATACTCTTTCAGATCGATAATTATATGAATATTTATTCATTGTTATATGACTATTTATAATGTTAATTTAGAAATTACATCAGTGGTATTTCTTTTAAATGAAAATGAGGCGACATTATTTGAGCCCTTATATTGAGAATGGGTGTTTAAAGAAAATTACCTGACAAGAACGTATCATTTTGATGGTTTGTTTTGAGGAAGGTTTGTTGATCATTGTAGTACTGTTTAGCAATAGCTAGAGCTGATGTTCCGTAAGTGTACAAATTAGTTCCGACATTCATTTTCTCCACTGCATAGAACAACCTGAAATAACATGAGAAATGAGGGAAAAAATGCATAAATCCTTTGTGGATAAAATGGACAAATAGGCACATTGATATATGATTTCCATGGGCAATTTTATGCATCAGTTATACTAAAAAAGAAGTACATTGTAGTGTGGTCTAACTGAAGATCAGTAATAATTGAATACGGGTTGTATTACTACACGTAAAAGATATAATTCATAATAGTACTTTGCCAAGCTGGGAAGGTCCTGCCTAACCTCCTGTACTTCGTCTGCAAATGAGAAGACTGGTTCCGGCATGCACATAAGAAATCTGCTATACAGTCCATCGTTGTTGTCGGAAGTTTTTCTCTCCTCGTCCAGTCGTTTGCAGATTTCTCCAGGGTGCGACATTCCGGTCAAATTTAAGACAGGACAAGGAATTGCCGTGTTGCCTAATTTATAAATGAATTTCAATTTGAAGCAATTTTGAAGTATTTCAATTTCAAAGCAAAATGTATGAGCTCGATGTAACAGATATATATTTATTATATCATTATTATTATATTTCATAATCATTAAAATTATTATTATATAAGATATATTGCAATACTCTACATACTGTTGCATGTCTGCCGTTTTAGGGAACCACCATTGTACGCAGTAAGATAAATGGTTGTGTCGTAGTCAGACGCACTGCCGGATTTATACAATCCAAGACTTGTTTGCCAAGTTTTTAACTCGTCCCACATCATAATTTGCCTGTTTTCTTGTGTTAGTTGTTTCAAAAGTGATTCCACTGTTGCAGCTACAACACAAAATGTAAAGTTTATTTAATAATTTTTTCATATAATGCTATTATAAAAATAATATGATTTGGAGATTATTACAATTTTTATATTCCTTCCTTATCAAAAACATTTCTGGGTAATTTTTTTTCTTTAATGGGCGTGCCCCTTTTCCCTTTTAGAAAAAAGTAAGTGAATACACGATTGATATGTTGTATTTGTAATTTTTAAAAAATAAAGTCAATTTAATTATGCCAATGTATTAGGAAACAGCTATATGTGTTTGTGCCCCATCAATAAAACATTCGATGATCCCCCTTTTTATAGCTTGTCAATTTTTCATAGTTGATAGTGCCCTGCAACTGAAAGTGTATGTTCTTGCCCCCCCCCCCCCCCCCCCCCCCCCGAACCACACCCAAACAAAAATGCATTTTATTGGTCTGGCATAAATGTTAATTAATGAGATCATTTTTATTAGCTACTTTCCCCATTTATATTTGTACAGGCACATTTATACATTGTTACGGTGTAATGTGTATTTATGTATAATTCATTTAGTGCGAATCC